GGTGTCAGAACCATATGTGCTCCCAGCCCTGCCAAAACATTCCCAGAGCTCTATGAACACATTTCAGTCTGACATGGAGGTGCTGCAAGACTGTTGTTACCTTTTACTCATATAGTAAACATTTCATTTGTGTCACAAAAAGCTCTTACTTCCACGATATCAACCAGTAAGTTTCTCATATGCAGAGGCCTCACATAGGATCAGTTCAACCCTACTTACACCAATATTTTTAACAGAAACCTTTCTACAATCAACACAAGTTCAACCTAATCCCACTTCTGAAGAGAAGCAGAAACCCTTTGTTTTACAAAGCACACAATATGCTCTTGAACAAAAAAAGCACTCCTGGTTTTCAGGGCTTTATCTATACGGTTGATAAAAAGAAGCTAAGGAGCAATACCTGACCCAAGATTGAGACAGAGTAGCCAACCCACAATCTCTGTAGAGCAGAATGACTGTGCAGTGTTATACTGCATTTGGCCTTAGGCCTTCTGAATACTGTATGATCTATTTTTTGTCATTCTCAAGTACACCCTTATAACAGCAGATGTTTTACCCCATTACTGCTGCCATGCAATGTTTTCTCAAGTCTGTTGAGGATTTTCTTTCTCTAGCGAACATCAATGGAAATCTCTTCAAAAATCTTGGCACTTCAGTGCTGCTGTCAGACCCACTATGCAGTAATTGCTGAATGACCAGGTTCCTTCTCAATACCATGTTAAAAAGGAGAGAAATCTACGGCTTCTGCCAGGGTTGTAACGATGGAGCCTGAAGAACAGTGTGGTCAGGGCCTGAGATCCTCAGCGACTGCACTGAACACTGGACACAGAAATGAACTCAGTCCTAAGCTTGATGGAAAATGCAACTAAACATAAAAAAGGGAACACCAAATAATTTCTTGTGGGCACTCAGCAATGCAGAATCTCCTACCATTTAGTATCTTCCTCATACCTATGGCTGTTTTTAAGCAAAACTATCTCAATTACCATTTACATTTTATGCATTGATGATGTCACATTACTACTGTCTGCCTTAAAAAAACAGCAGTCTAAGTAAGTGTCCAAAACAGATGAGGCATGCATGTTCAAGGATCCTGTCTGATCCAAAGCCAAATATTCCAGTAAATGGCTATAATGAAAATCCATTAAGAGGATGAATCAGTTGCAGCTTGTTTTCCCTTGCTTTTTACTGTTGTGTTTTTCATCATTAAGAAAACAGCTCTGTTCCTCGTAACTTTGTTAGCATTTATCAGAAAGCTACCTGTTACAGCAGATTAAGAGTTCCTGGGAAAAAAAAAACAAATACACATAAGACCAAAACAAGCAACTAGATTTGTAAATTTCCTTATCTAACTCCTGGTCACCATAGCACACGGCAGATGGCCAGATTTGTTCCAGTCTTATTTGATTACTACTCATGTTTGTCTTTTCTGCAAAAGAACACAAGATGCTATGCTGAGTTAGCTGGGAAGGACCTTCTAAAAGCTAACTGATCTTTTTACTCAGCTGCACAGTGCCCTGTCCATTGCTGTAAGTAATAAAGAAATCAGGTCTTATACTGAGTTGAAAGTCAGTTCAACTAAGTACCTGAACTAGGCAGTCTGAATGTTATCCATTAAAAATGGAAATCTCATAGCAGCAAGCATGGTAAAAATATCAACAAGGAAAGCAACTCAAGTCAGGGATGGAAAGTTGTTTGCAGTTAATTACCAAGACAGGAATTTCCCATTTAATCCACATGCTTGCAAAAAATTTCATTAGAATGTCAGGCAAAACAATTTATTTCTTCCTGTTTTCTATTTGTTTCTATTACTGTGAGCTTATTATTTATACAACTTCACAAATCTCTCCCTGATTTTCTGCCTAATGGAATACATGCAGAGCCCCAGTTTGATGCCTCAGGTAGCTTTTGCCAATGTCAGAGCAGGAGTAGACCTAAAGGAAACACAGAAGTGTTTCAGCTGCCAAGACGCATTTCAGCTAATTATAACAATCACCAGGAGCTTCAGGGGAAATCCTTTGATTCATCCTCTAAACCACAAAAGCTGCTTGGCAGAAATGTGTCACACTACTGAGCGGGAAAGCCAAGGCAGCACCTAAGATTCTGCTGGCCAGCAAACGCTCCGAGACAAGGAGGCACTCCCACCTTTCCACTTAGTAAAGCAACAAGGAATTCTCGAGTTTTCCCATACAACAGCTGCTAAGCAGTGCTAGCCTACACAGGAAGGGTACCCACTGACTGAAAACATCTTCACAAGCAGACCACAAAGTGCTTTCAGATTATCTGTATCCACTGTAGTTTTTTGATTATTTAAAGCTGTTGCAAGCAATGCAGGAAAACACAGACAACAAGTCACCCACCAATTACAGCTTCAAGGAAAGCAAATGACTGAGAATCTGTTCAAAGTCATACCAAACTCCCCATTCACTCCCATTTTTTCCTCAACTACTTCATTTCTGAATTCTATGCTCAGGTCATAACAGCATCAGAGCACAGGTCATATATACCTAGTTTTTTCTGCACTTTTTCAGTAACAGAAAAAGCACAAAATTAGTCAGCTTAGATTATCCAGTAGTGGCAGACTCAATGTGAATTTTCTGCTATGTAATGAATGCCAAGTCAGAAACAAGCAGCAGGTGAAATCCACATGCTACTTCCATACCTAGGAATGTAAATCAACTGGAGTCACTCACAATAATTTATAAACATACAGTAAACCTAAACTTGGCAGGCTGCCTGGAAGGAGCACAAGTGTGATACGTAACTGAGGTTAGTACACAAGTCTGAAGCGTTCTTGACTCTGCAAGTAAATGTAAGTTAGCACATACACTGTTCAGGCTCACATTCATCAGTTCATTTAAATTCATTTTCCAATTAGACCCCTGCAGCACTTTATGTAGGCCATCTCATGATTTTGCATTTGATCTCAAGGGCTGCTTATTCTCTCATCTGATTCCCATTAATCAAAATGACAGTCTCTAGCTAAATAATTTTACATGGGTCATCTAGCTGGTCAGTTTTATCTGTGAGGTGTTCAGCATTGCCATGAATTTTCCTCTACAGGAAAAACTTAACCAACACAACTGAGGCAAACTTCAGGCAAGTTCATCCAGTTGTTCATCAAAACATGGAGCAGCAGAAACCTGAGACTGAATATACACTTTTGCATTAAGGGAGCAGAAGCAACATTTGGGAGGTTGGAGTGAAGGAAAATTGTAAGAGCATCTGCCAACCAGATGCAGTATTGAGCCCAGGGCCTCAGCTCACACTCTCACTTGCAGAATAAAGGCAGTCATTAAGAACTTGAGATACTGGGAGAGCTGAAGGTAACGAAAAGTGTGTGTGTTTGGTGTGTTTGTGTGTGTGTGTGTGTGTGTTTGGTGGCCCTGCTAGGCAGGGGGGTTGGAACTACATGATCCTTGAGGTCCCTTCCAACCCGGGTGATTCTGTGATTCTGTGAAAAGATTTCTCATCTGCCCTTTCTCAGAATTTCACTAGCAAAAAGCAAGGCAGACAAAACACATTGTGCAATTTCCCTAAATACATTTTTGTTTCTATGTATTTATTCCTTTGTTTTTTTCCCCTTCTTTATGTAACCCAAGTGGAGTTTTTGTGTTTGTGAGACCTTGATGTGGGTTGATCCTGGTGTGTGCAGCCAAAGCCTGCCCAGCCAAATGAGGGACTGAGTTGGAAGGGCCAAAGAGAGAAATTGTGGGTTGAGACAAAGACAATTTTACCTTTAATAGTTAAAGCAGCAGTTGCACACATAAGAAAAGAAAGAAAAAAAAAAAAAAAGTGAGCAATTCACTCACTAATTACCATATTCAGGCAGATATATTTATCTATTTCCAGAAAAGCAAAGCTACATCACACGTAACAGTTGCTTGGGATGACAAACAGCAGCCACAAAAATCTGTTCCTCTTTCTCCTATTTTCCCCAGCTTTTAATACTGAGTGCAGCACAGGGAATGCCCTTCCGGTCAGTTGGGGCAGCCATCCTCGCTGTAGCCTGGCGCAGTGTCCTGTGTACCCCGAGCACACTAACTAGCATGAGAAACAGAGCCAGTAGCACTGTTCACCAGTAGCTAAAACATCCCTCTGTTATGAATACTGTTTTGGTCTAAAATGTAGCACCGCACAAGATACTTAGAAGAAAATGAATTCCACTGCAGCCAAAACCAGCACAGGTCTGCCAGAGATTTTTCAGAGATAAACACTAAACAACACAGCTCTAAACAAAGTTGCAGACCCAGGACAGACAAATCACATGCCCTGCTTGCAACCTTTTTGCAAGATTAGTTAGCCCAGCCTCTTGTCACAATGCTTTTAATGGTCCTAGTCACCAAATCATTTTGTTGTAGGCACTAGTATCCCTGAAAAATATTTTGCTTTGTAGGTATAAATTTAGAGCTAGTGGAACTACTTCTATACTTGTAAAATAGGTAACAAAAAAGTACATTCTGTGACTGAAAAAAGGGCCATGCATATAAGTTTCTATACTTTGCTCTGGTAGTCAGTCTAATAAAGATGCAATCTCAACCTCAAAATTCACTCATGGCATAAAGGCAAATCATATCATCCAGGACATCTCAAAGAGGCATTTTTATAAGTAAGTCTGCTAAGCTTGGCACACCATGTGGAAAGATGCAAATCAAGGATTCTGGAGCATTTCAGGGCTAAGTTACTGCCATTTAACAGTTCTATAGGAAAGATGCAGCAATGCACACATCTAATACACCTCTCTAATATTCATAAACCTGGCACATTTGGAAACCCTTCTTTATCTTTTCTATAGCCTATAGATGAGAAGCTGCCTTATCAATACCTTGCCCTCCTCATGGAAAGGAAGCTTTAAACCAGTACAGCTAGCAACTGGGCTTTCCAGGTGAAATTATTTACCACAAGCAAATAAACTGTCCTTAGGGGCCACACCTAAATGAATGGACATGAATCTGCAAGCAAGTTTTTAGGTGGGGCAAGAGATTTTTCCATTTCAGTACCTTGTTTGTGCCAGTTATTTTGGTGTGGGTTAGCATACCATCAGGCTCTTGGAAGTTGTTTTCCCTTCTGCACCTCAGTGGTGGCACTCAGAAATCTGCTAGGTAGCCCCTGCAGGTGGATGAGAAATGATCAGGAGTTGCCTTTGCATATATATATATGTATATATTTAATAAGACTACGGCGTTTTCAATCTATTTTCTGCTTGCTTTAAGTATGTGGTATACGCATGTAAAATGTTATCCTCGATCAAATGTTGAGAAGGAACCCTTACCAGGGCCCCTGTACCCCTGAAGACCAGTACGTGGGTATTCAGCGCAGCACTACCCTCAGACACGGCAGCATGCAGCCACAGCCCCTGCTCCGGGCACACACACGCGCACAGGCCCTGCCCGCGGCAGGCACTGTATCTTCTTCAAGCCCTGTGTGCCTGGTTCTAGCCATGATTGCTCTTATCTGGCTCTCGCCTGAGGGGTTCACTGCAGATAAGACTGCAGTTCAGGTCCAGCACCGGTTATTTCTCCATTTCTATTAATTAAAACATGCGAGGCAGGGAGGAGGAGGTAATAGATACAAAAACAAAACAAAAAAAAACCCTACCCAGCGCCGGCAATCTCTCTGACCCGCGGCTCCGAGACGGGCGGTCCCCAGGCAGCCCCAGAGCGCACCTCCAGGCCTCGAGCTCCCAGCCATGACCCGCACGGCCTGGCCGGCGGCTGCCGCCATCTGCCGGTGGCGCTGAGGGGCGCCGGGCCGGGCCGGGCCGCGCGCCCGCGGAAGGGCCGCAGCTCTTGGCCTCTCTCTGCGAATATCCCGGATTGGTTCAGAAAATGCTGGGTCAGAAGAGTGTCAGGTCGGGATGAAACGACAGCCATTTTGTCAGGCACTTTCGAGCAGTTACCTGGCCTGGCCTGGGGCTAATCCTTGGAGATTACCGTTCCCTCCATTCTGGAGCTGTCTTTAAAGACTGTCCGACCGCTCTGTGGCAATGACAGCACCAGCCTATGGCAGTGGTTGGATCGCTCACCTTGGAAGCAGTCACAGAATTTAAATTCTTCCTCTGCCCAAGGTCAGGTTCAAATCCATAATGATTTGAACACACAGGATCTTTGAAGGCTCTACAGCAATACAGGAACTTCGGAAGCTATAATGGCAATTCAGGGAGGAAAGCTTTGCGTCTCTCTTGAAGAACACAAATGGAAACAACTGTGAGTCACGTTTCTGCTCTCATTACTGCTTTACTGTTTTATCCAGAAGTGTAAATGCTACTTATAATGGAAAGAATAACAATTCATCTGAATATTTTCTGGATGGAGAATATGGCAGCTAGCATACAATTTGTGTGGGAGACTGACTTGTCAGTGTGTATAAGACATCCTCTGAAAATGCAAATGGATAAAGCCCATAGGGAGATTAGGCCAAAACCCAATTGATTTCTGGATCCCAGTCAGGCTCTGACATTGTCGAAGCATATCTCATGCCAATACTTAGACATTGCCAAATCTGAACCCATCTATCTTTTGCAGCATTTAAATACCCCAGTTCCCTCCACCCCATAGCTCCAGCACTGAAATAATAATATTTTCAATGAAGTATATTTTGTCTTTAAACAAAGGAAGGGGAGCCGTAGAAGGCAGAGAAGTTCCACAGCGAAAGTTGTCTGAGAGAAGAGCAGGATATATCCCAAACACTTGAGAAAGTCCAATTCAGTTAAAAAGAGCAGAAGGACTTAAGAAAAAAAACAGACATAAACACAGGAATGATCCAAGGATGATAAAAAAACTTTTCTTCATTTGTTACTATAGTATAGAACATAATATAGAATATGACAAGTAGCAGGACATAGCCAAACTGGCTCAGGGAGATAGATATGCTAAACTGCTAATTGCTATCCATGATTTGGAAACCAAGCATGTAATAGCAGAGAGAAAAATGAGACTAGAAATGAGAACAATATTTCTTACTATTGGAGAATTAAAGCTATGCCCAAACCTGAACATTTTTAAGAGCTTCATGAATCAGTGAGAGGGATTCTATTTGAGATTGGATATAAGTGACCCTCCATATTGTTGGCAGTTATAAGGTTATTTTTATTCATGGAGGAGAGACTCAACAAAGTCCTTGAGAGACCCACTCTTCTTCAAAATCAAAAAATACTCTTAGAACAAACTAGAATTTCAGCCAGATTAAATCATAATGCAGACAAGGCCAAGCTTTGCTTCTAGGTCTTCAGATGTTAAGGTATCTATGGATGAAGTTCCCATTCTTAGCTGTAACTATCTATATCTATAACAAGTTTTGGGCAAATTTTGGACCGCATTCTTATTTCCTGTACGTGGTGCTAGAAGTCCTCAAAATGAGAGAGAGCATTTTCTTGACTTCATACTGAAAAACGGGTACAGATAGCAATCCTCCATGTTCTGTTCCTTGTTCAGTGAGGAAAACATAATGCCAGGCCAGGAGCTCTGGTGATGCCAGGGAACTGGCAATGCCTCGACATGCAGTGATGGGAAGGATACCTCTTCTGTAGCAAGTGCTTCCCTCTGCTGGAGCAATGCCATAAAACACATTTTAGGCTTGGAAACTCCTCACGTTCCACTAGTGCTTGGGTGTGTTAAGTATAGTACTCTTAGTTTCTTTGTCAGTGCAGCAGAACATAGTGCTTGCTCTTTTTCTCTTGGAATTACTAGAAAATGAAGGCTCTGTCTTGGAAGGATGAGCTTCAGACAAGTGCCTTTGAAGATAAAGCTGGTATTGACCAGGCTCCCTGCAACAATTTTACTGGTAGTACTTTGAATTAGTCCCTCTAGATTCGTGGATTTTTAAAAGTTATGAATGTGATAGGTGGACTGGAAGTGTGAACTTGGTAGCAATCCTGCAGAGATAATGATACAAGGAATTCAGATTTTGCCTTTAGATTACCTTCTTTTTTCTTCTTCTTTATGTTTAAATAAAAGCAATATCTTTTTCTGAGAAATCCAAATAATCAAGAGATCTGTCGAGACTTCTCAATTGCTTTTCTCTTTGAAGATAAATAGCATGCTTTTATGTTCATATGCACACTCTTTCACTATGACAGTTTCAGCCTATCAGATACACTGACAGTCTCTGAAGAACAACCAAAGTGAAGGAGTCCTGCTTTCATTGTTTGTAGTCAATACATTCTGCAGTGTAGAGTGACTGTGGAGAAGAACTGTAGGTAAGAAGACAAAAGTACTATATTCCATACAATTACCCATCTTCAAAGAAATAAAGGCTTTGCTGATACATAAAGAAGAACAAACTGTGGTGCTGTAGTTATGCCATATTTGCTGCAACCTGTCTGAATTAGTTTCCTACAACTATGAACTATGTTGGTGGTTTTCTAATTTACTTTGTCCCTCTGAGTGCTATTTTGTACTGCCTTTTGAGAAGAACTTAGGGTTTTAGACAAATTGAATATTATTCTCTATTTCATGTAGATCATCCAGCTCCAGTCAATGATTCAGTTTTCTATAACCCTTTTAAAATTTCATTACATTTTTGAAATACAGAATTTTTTTCAATTTGTTGGAGCTTATTCTTTTGCAGAAACACATTGCTCTAGAAATCACAAGTGGCTTCCCATAAACACACAGTACCCTTCCAGAAGTATCAGAGACTAGAGGTGCAGTAGAGGCTGTAGAAAAATGTGAGGCTGGAGTATGGCACTGCTATCCAATGACATGTCATGTGTTACAGCAATTACCAGACAAAGTGGAAGAGGTACTTAGTCTTCAACTTATTTAAAACCTTTGCCAAGCTTGTGACTTTGGGCAGGGAATGGGGGAACCAGGGAGACTTCTCTTGCTCAACAACATGGCAGTGGCAGCACAATCTGAAGGAAATAATTTGCTGTGCTCAGCTATGACAGAGCAATGTTTCTGTTTTCCCTGCCACAGGGGAGCCATCAATGCCTCTCATGCAATATAAGCCCACAGAAGAGAGCTCCAGCTCCAAATTTCAAACCCCCAGACGCTCTGGCTCTAGGGACAGGGAAATTGAAGCCTGAAGCCTGAATCTGCTAAGGTACTTTTTCTGTCTCATAGCCCTAGATTGAACACCATAGAGGGAGTCTCTGGAGAAGTGGGACTTGTTTCTTCCATTTTTCTGCATCTTTGTGACAGTTACTACCCAACAATTTCCATTTACACATATGCCACTTACATCCATTTCACTTTGGAGGCTATGTTTTTCTCCACAGTAGGTTGGGTCTTTGGGTACAGTCTGTGACAAGGACAGCATGCACACTGTCATAGACATCTGGGTAGGTACTTCTGCAGATTCCTTAGCACAGTTTCTACTATGAGGAATGATAGATAGCCAGGTTTAAAGAAAAAGCAAAATGAAACATTGCAGAGGCACAGATAACCGCCGCACCAGGATTTTCAGGGCCAGGCATGTGAGTTCAGGCAGACCAGAACCAGTGCAGCTCCCTTCTCATGGTGCTACACCCATGCAAACCAATCCAAACAATCCCACGATGACACACAGAACAACCTCATGTGTCCACACCTAAGGCAATCTGTGATTGAGATAATCTTCCCAGGAAAAATGAAGACTTATTGTACACTAATCTTGAAAGCAGACCAACCCAGGAGTGTCACAACCCTTTTTACGGAGGAGGCACCTGAACTTCAGTGCCCTGCAGAGGGCTTTGGGAACAGTATTGCCCAGTTTTGAGACTGCCTGATGGAGTCCTCTGTTACTGAGGAAGAATACAAGCTTGCAGATAGCTCAGAGTGGATGCCAACAAAGGAGAGAGGACCCATGCAGCAAACTAGGACCTGCTAACACAGGAAATGCTAAGTAGAACAGTAAATCTTAAGATGTCTATTGACAAGGTATTCAAGTGTTTGTATTCATTTGCTGACCATGGTAAATTGTCCATAGCTTGAAATTTACAGTTTTGTCATTTTTGCTTACCTAATAAGTACTAACCTCTGTATTCTACACACTGTAGCTGCTCTTCCTTTGTTACGTTACCACAGAAAGATCAGGAACATTTGCTATCTGTACTATATATGTTCAGCTCATTGCTATAGAACACCAGACAGTGCAATCCCGTGCAGCAGCTTGGCTGACCATTTCACAGCAAACAACCTATCATAGGCTCAGAGAATTTTTGTGTAGAGAATAAGAGCAGCTGCCCTATAGCAGAACTCTGCACTGTCTGCACCTTCTTTATCTCACTTCTACACCTGTGAGTTTTCTTCACTATTTCATTTTCTTCTCTTCACATACAAGTCATTATAAATTGTTGAGGAATATTGCATAATGTATTTACTAATAAGAAGTAACTCACATAATGCAAACCCACTTTAGGTGAGGCAATGTTATCTCTGTGCCCTGACAAGTTTATGAACTGTGAGTAATTTCATTATGAACTTGATGTAGTTTTATCTTTCAGTGGCATATATAGCTTTCAGTGGCATATATAGCTGCAGAGGATCACTCAATATTATATTTTGATTGCAAATTCTTTGGGCAGAGACTATCTCTTGTATAGGCAAAGCCTACCACAATGGAGACTTGATTTCGTCTGCGTCTTCCAGATACTTCTGGGATGCAAATGTAAAGTACTATCAATTCACATGGCTGATTTTTTCCTAACATGCATTCATGCTCACCCCACAGACACCGTACTCACAGTGTACACAG